GTCCACAAATAGTTCCCAAATCGAAGTCAAATGCGGGGCGAGTTTCAGCTTCCATCTGTAGACGACTTTGATAATGAAGTCACTGAGGGAGGTCTGAAGTGTTTAAAACATGTCTGGTTAAATAGGCTAAGCACCAGACTTCCCTATTAGTTTACTCTTCCTCCCCCCGACAGGGTTTCTCTGTAGCTTTGGAACCTGTTCTAGAATTCACTCAGTAGACCAGGCTGGCTTTGAACTCATGGAGATCCCCCTGTCTCTGCCTCCCCAGTGCTGGGATTAAAGGTGTGTGCCACCACTGCCTGGCTTAGTTTACTCTTTAAAGACTCAGGTTCTTGCCTGGTTACCACTACACCTGACTGTCACAAACAGTGATTTATGTTTTATAAAAATACAGTGAAGATTTGCCTTGATGTTGGATTGTCTCCTGTGGAGTAACTTGTTGGTCTCTGTACGGTCAGGCTTCCTGAACAGCAGCCAGGATTCGCCCTTGTGTATTCAAATGTTTACTTTTGTCATTCTGATTTTAAATTTTCTTTAACACAGTATGCTGGACACATTGAGACTGAAGCACGGCTTGTTTTGATTCTGTTGCAAAAACAAGTCCTTTATTCTCTGTTTTCTATTTCCAATATTTAAAGATGCATTTGGCAAGTTTGTGTTCTGTAACTTGGAGCTTACAGCTCAGGGCCTTTTGTTGTTGCTGCTGTTCCTTTGTGTGGGTTGTGTCTCAGTTACTTTTCTGATGCTGTGAAGAGACACCATGACCACTACAGAAGGAAGGTTTGTTGGGGTTCACCGTTCCAGATGGTTCTAGTCCATGATCACCATGGCGGGGAACATGGCAGCAGGCAGGCATGGGACTGGGATAGTAGTGGAGAGCTACCTGTTGAAACGACTGCCACAAAGCAGATAAAGAGAGAGAGCTAACCAGAAACGTCATGGACTTTTGAAACCTCAAGGCCTTCAGTGACACATCTCTGCCAACAAGACCACGCCTCCTAATCCTTCCCAAATAGTTTTGCCAACTGGCCACCAAGTATGAGTATATAGAAAGCCTCTGGAGACAATTTTCATTCTGCCCACTACAGTCTGTCTTTCTTGGTGTTATAGGCAGTTGTGCTCTTCCAGAAATTAATGTGGTTTTCACTTGTTGTAGTTTGACTCCTTACTTTTTTTTTTTTTTAAACAGTGTCATTGTGTGTCCTCTGCAGGCCTCAAATGTGCGGTTCTTCATCTTCAACGTTTAAAATGCTAGGATTTACAGATGTGGGCTACTACTCCTAGGTAACTGAAAATTTTGTTTATGTAAATGGGTCATGAGTGTGTAGATTCAAGTATGTGTGTGCGCGCACACGCAGTAGAAGCTGGTTGTCTTCCCCAATCACTCCTCACCTTATTTTTTTTTTTGGGAAAGAGTCTCTCACTGAACACAGAATTCAGCAAGACTAGTTGTCCAGCAAGCAACAAGATCTTCCTGTCTATACCTCCCTCCGTTAGGATCACAGCCACATACATGTGTGCCTGTGGGGGCATCTGAACTCGAGTTTTTTTGTGCTTATGTGGCAAGGGCTTTATCAATTGGCACCTGCCTCCCAGGCCCCCTGTTTGTATTTTTTAAAAGTGCTAACTGCTTACTCAGGGTTGTGAAGGTATAGTTGTGGTTAGTTTTTTAGACTTCATCCCTTTCTCTCTTCTCTGAACACAATTGCATGTCCCAGGATGTTTTTCCCTCAATATCTGAACTAGGAGTAGATGCTGAGTTTCACAGATAGACTTCTCAGTGTCATTTGAAATGATTATGTGTTCATGTTTCCAGTCCGTCTGAGTTGTTACTAACATTTTCCTTGTAATATACTCCCTTGAATTCCCATGGAGTTATTATAAGCATTATAAAATTTTATTAAAATGATACTTGTCTCTCATAAAATAGGCTAGGCAATTCAAAATGTTTCCCCCCTCTACATTCTAGTAGAGTTGAAATAATATATTCTTCAAAGAATTCAAAAATAAAACTTGAATCTTGGAGCTAATTTTATTTATTTATTTATTTTTGAGACAGGGTTTCTCTGTGGCTTTGGAGCCTGTCCTGGCACTAGCTCTTGTAGACCAGGCTGGCCTCGAACTCACAGAGATCCGCCTGCCTCTGCCTCCCAAGTATTGGGATTAAAGGTGTGCGCCACCACCGCCCAGCTTGGAGCTAATTAAAAAAAATTATTTTATAGTATGTATATGTGTCTACTCAAGTGTAGATATGTATACTACGTGTGTGCAAGTGCCATCAGAGACTGGAAGAGGGCACCGGATCCTCCTTGAACTGGAGTTTTATGTGTTTGAGAGTCATTGGGTGTGGGAGTTGGGAACCAAATATGGGTCCTCTGGTGAGAGCAACGAATGTACTTCACTGCTGAGCCATTTTTTTTCATCCCATTTGGTGTTGAGACACAGGCTTACTCTGTGGTCCAGGCTGGTCTTGAACTCACACTCCTCCAGAGGCTGAGATTACTCACATTTGTCATTATCCTAACCAGCTCAAGGGATGTTTTTTAAAGCCTCTTTTGGCTGGGTTCATACATTTAATCCCAGCACTCCAGAAGCAAGACATGCAGATCTGGGTTTGAGGCTAGCCTGATCTACACCTCTAGTTTCAAGCATGCCAGAGACACACAGTGAGACTTTGGTTCAAAAAAAAAAAATTGTGTTTTTTTTTTTTCTATTCTGTGTCTTTGTTATTTGCTACCATTTTTGGGCATGTTTTTAGTATTTTGATCTTTCATCTGGCTGTCTTTTTCTGGTGAATTATCACAATTCTAGTTCTCTTGGTAAAGGAGTCATGCTATGGAGAGTACTTCTTCCTGGGTGGAAGCCGGCTCTACTTTCTAGCATTACTTTCAGTAGTATCTCCTAGCCCTTGGTAAAGACTCTCTCGAAGGTAGTCGGATTGCTCTCTATTTTCTTCTTGTTTATTTATGCATTTTGTGTGTGTGATGCAGTAATTTCACAGAGACTGGTCCCTCTATTGGCTCACATATTTGCATGCTCACATATTCCCAGTTGGTGAACTATTGTGAAGTATGAAGAAATATGGCCTTGTTGATGTAGGTGTTGATGTAGCCTACATGGGGGAGTAGGCTTTGATGTTTTGAGAGCCCTAGGTAGGCCCAATCTCTCTCTGCCTGATGTAGCTCTTAGTTACTTGTCTGTCTGCTTAATTACATGCCCATGTTCTGCTCCCTGCCATGATTATAATGGACTACCCTTTTGAACTCTAAGCAAGCCCCCAATTAAACGCTCTCTTTGGTAAGAGTTGCCTTGGTCATGGTATCTCTTCACAGCCACAGAACAGTGACTAAGACAATGGGTGTTTTGCCTGCATGCATGTCTGCGTACCATGTGCATGCAGTGCCCACAGAGGCCAAAAAAAAAAAAAGGTGTTGTACCATCTGGGACTGGAGTTACAGAAAGTTGTGAGTCACCATGTGGGTGCTGGCAATTGAATTCTGGTTGTCTCTGGAAGGAAATCAGTGTTTTTAACTAGTGAGTCATCTCTTCAGTCTCTATCATGTGAATATACCTTAACATATTAATCCACACATCCATCCATCTATCATCCATTCATCCATACATCATCCATTCACCCATCATCCACCCATCCATTATCCATTCATCCATCACCCATCCATCCGTCATCCATCCATCCATTCATCCATCCGTCATGTGTATATACCTTAACATATTAATCCACCCATCCATCCACACATCCATCCATCCATACATCATCCATTCACCACCATCCATCCATCCATTATCCATCCATCCATCCATCATGTGTATATACCTTAACATATTAATCCACCCATCCATCCACACATCCATCTATACATCATCTATTCATCCATCCATCCATTATCCATGCATCCATCATTTATCCACCCATCATCTATCCATTCACCCATCCATCCATCCATCTACCCATCCATTTTCATACCTAAATTTGAGTTAGTATTTACTAATAAAAGGAAATTGAATAGAAAAGAAATGTCAGGAATGCTAGCTGCCTGAGGTGCTTCCCAGGAGAGGTAATGTCTAAGTTAATGTCTGAATGAAGAGGGTGGGGAAGACAAGCATGGGAAAAGAAGGTGTTCTTGGCAGAGGATCCATCAAGAACACAGACCCTGAGATGAGATCAAAGTAAGCTTTAATCTGCTTTTATTCTTAGCGTTCACAGTGAAAACTGTCATTTTAAAGGCATGGAGTGAGCTACAGTCACTGTGACAGCCCCTAGGATGACAACTCCTACCACCACCGCTACTACAGTGACAGTTATAACAAAGGGGCCAGTACAGAACTTACGCTGGAGCTGATTTCTCATGGCTATTCTGAGATTCCAGTGTAGGTCGTAAGAGCCAGTGTCTCTCTGTCTCCCATGACCCCTGCAGAAATGTGGATCGTGCAACTGTTCCCCATCTCAGTGCACAGGGCTCCTCCCTACTCCCTACTCATCTCATGCATGCTACTCAGGTAGGTTTCGAGACTGGATGAGTTTTACCATATCCCCTAAAGATGGCCTTGAGTACAGTATAGACTGCTAATCGGTGCGGACTTGGCTGCAATAGCTCCAGCACAGCACCCCCACTCCATGCCTCTAAGACTGGGAGTGGGCTGATTTGGTTCTGAAATGGAAAAAGCAGAAATGACCGTGTTTCTCATTTGACCCACAGGTACTCTTTCTTCTGGACAAAATCTTGTGGCTTCCTGGTGGGACTGCCATGAGGAAGAGAGCTCTGATTACATTTTTCTTCTAGGTTATTTTGCAACCTAACATCTTCCTCTTCAGCTTCCCCCACAGTACCTCCTGTGGCCAGATTATTTCCCTTCTATTCCGGACATTTTCCCTTTCTTTCGGTTCCCTTTCCAAGCCAAATCCTTCCACAGCGCAGATCCAAAACCACAATTTGAGAAGGAGGCAAGTATGAAGTATAGGAATCAACCATGGGAGTCACTTTCCTTTACTCATAAAGAAATGCAGCTTTATTATTTTCAAGTACATATGTAGTGCCTCAAGCTAAAGTCTTACAGAAGGTCACCAGTAAGGCTCTTGTAGATGTTCCTTTAACAGATATATCGGGACCGAAGATAATTAGCCTATGCACTTGCTGATTCTAAAGGGAGGTTTCTAAAGTGCCTGAAAAGCATACTTTGGGACAGACTATATATGCCACTCCTAGCAATACTGTTTATGCACTTAAATTACTGACCAAATGACTTCTTTATTGATTGTGCAAAGGTAAACGTTTGTTCAAAGTCAAGATCTCAAATTAATCGGGCCGAAATAAATATAGTGTCTTATTTAGACTTCCAACCTAAGGCTTATGAATTTCAATGTATGTATGATAAAGCAAAACTCCACTGTGATGAGACAGTGGCTCTGGGGAGACCTTTGGGCCTGGCCTAATGCGTGTCTTGTTCTTCATGTTTCCACCTTAGGCCTTCCGGTTTTCTTGCTGTCTCTCACTTGCTTGGCTCATTCATCTAGGTCCAGCTATGCAGTGCTTTCTAGGCCAGGCTTAGAGAAAGGGCAGCTGTCCACAGAGCAAAAATGTTAGCTGAGAGGGAGTAAGGAAAGACAACTCTACTCCATAGGAACCTGAGGCTAGCTAGCTTCCTGCCTCAAGGAAAGTGGGCGTTTGCCTGGGAGCGGTGGCCTTGCCCTCTAAGAGGTCAAAGGCAGATTTTTCTCTCGTGTCTAAAATTGCTGACAGCGTCATGATCTAAGCTGATTATTCCTGCCAATGGCCAGCTAGGCAACACTGGAAATGATGTGGGTTCAGCAGCGTGGGCACGAAGGGGAAGGTAGTGGGAGAGCAGGGAGGTGGAAACTGGCAGCTAACTGGGGTCTCAGAACAGCATGTTGTTTGAGAAATTATTATAAAGAGGGGCTGGTCCCAAAAGCATGTAATCCCAAGAGCTGGACCTTCCTGGCCTTGTGGACAAAGGGGACCACTATCCAGGAGTCATTGGGGCACTTGGTGGCCACACTGACTCCTGGTCTTGCCTCTCGTTGCTAGTCTAATGAGATGGGAGTTTGATCTACTTGTGTCTATAAAGGACACAGAGCCAGAACCCATACCACCTACCTGGAGGCTCAAGGTGACAAATTTGCGGTCACTGCCCTGTCTTTATTCCTTTGCTGTCTCCCTCAGCCAGCACATCCCAATCTCTCCTTGCCAGCCCAGCTCTCCTCCCTAGGTTCCTGACTGGCCTTGCCTGGGAGACACTCTTAACCTTCCCTTCCAGCTTCCCCTATCTGGCCTCAGACTCTCGCACTTCCAGAAGGAAAATTTTGTGTTTTTAAGGTTTGGAAAGGGAGGAACAGGGGCAGGCTCAGGAAGGAAGCTAAAGAAGACAAGAACGGGAAGAGGAATGAAGCCAGAGACGTAGACACTTGGTCTGAGAGGACTTTCTTCTGGAGTAGACAGGACTGACCTTTGGGTGGTGATCTGTTTGAAGAATACAGGTGAGGGCTAAGACACAAGGAGGACTGGGGCAACCCTTAGTGCTTTGGGGAAAGTAGGGGATGTGGTAGAGTGGGACGAGAGGGATCTTGGGAGGGGACCCCAGAACACACTGTCTGAGGGTTCACAGTTGGACCCATGGAGCAGTCACCTCAAGTTTATTTACCCAGCTTAGCTCACCCTGTTGCCTTATTCTGTCTCCCCCAAGTCTTCCCCTAAAATACCACCCCAGTTTTTCCATCCCTTCCCTCCACCACCGCAGCAACACCTCCAGAGCACCCCATCTTTCCCATTCTTCCTTTCTCCAGTGATCTCAGTAGTACGTCTCCTTCTCCACCCAGCCTGTGAGAGAGATGGGATAAAGGTTGTAGCAGGAACAGAACAGGAAGCAAAAGTTCAACTCCCCAGGGCTCAAATAGCTGAGATCAGAGGGAAGGGACAAACCCCTGCCTGGTTTGTGGGCTGTATAAAGGACAAGGAGGGGCCAAGCCTGTCTTCTGGGGAGACTTGTATTTCATCCAGGTAACAAGTGTCTGCGGAAGCAGGAAGCAGCTGTGCCAATGGCGCCACAAGGAACCGTGCCAGAGGACTGACAGCGCTTTGTATTGTTTTAGAAACCAGATCCCAGGCTTTATGTAAAAACACCAAAGTTTTAGATGCTGGGTCTGTTAGAAGACCACACATCTAAAATCTTGGACCTCTCAGCCCAAACACTACTCATGGACCGTGTGTGGCTTGTAGGTCATCCATTTCAATCCAGCCAATGATCAAAAATGCTTCCAGGGAAAATAAACCAACTCTTGGTTGATGCCAGGAAATCAGGAGCCCTATGTCGTGGTACCAGTTTCTATTCCTTGCCTTATCATCCTAAACAAATAAATCCCCCCCCCCCCCCGTGCACCTTTCTATCAACAAAATGTATAGATGATTAGATGATCTCCAAGGGTCCTTCTAATCTGATGGTCTGTGGTCCTAGAGCAGTGGTTCTCAACCTGTGGGTCATGACCCTTTGGGGATCAAACAGACTTTTCACAGGAGTTGTATATCAGATATCTGCATTGATCCATAACAGTAGCAAAATTACAGTTATGAAGTAACAATGAAAATAATTTTATGGTCAGGGGTCACCACACCGTGAGGAACTGTGTTAAAGGGTCGCAGCATTCGGAAGGTTGGGAACCACTGCTCTAGGTGAGACACAGGATCTGAAAGGAAGAGGCCAGGGTTGGCCTGCTCAGGGCTTCTGGGACCTTAGGGTCAGAGCTGTCTGCAGAGTGCACCGCTTACCCCCAGGGTACCGCCGTAGGATGAGCTTGCGGACCTCATCGTAGATGAAGATGAGGAGACTGTAGGGAAAGGCACAGAACCACCAGGTGACCCTGAAAAACAGTGGAGGGAAGTCAGGGGCCTCAGAGGCTGGCACGGTGTCACGAAAGTAAATTAAAGTGAATTAGAGCCTGGGTCCCAAAAGGAGCCAGGATTTCTCTGTTCTTACCACTCCCTCAGCCACTGGTAGAGGCACTTACTTGAGTGGGTACATTCGGAGGGCCACCCCCATGCCCGGACAGTAAGACAGGAAGGCAGCCAAAGCCGTCTCTTCTAGGAGCCCAAAAATCAGGATCTTATTCCTAGAAAGGCAAAGAAAAGAAAGCAGGTAGTCAGGTAGCATTGGAGGAGGGTGTGGGAAGGGGGAGCTCCAGAGGCACCCCTTGGAGCAGACGGGAAGGGGAAGAGGGAAGGACGGCTTCTTCATCCCTATCATCTTCAAACCTCTTATCATGCTTTATGTAACCAAAGGGGGAAAAATTTTCTTCTGGCTGGATGGTGGTGGTGCATGCTTTTAATCCCAGCACTTGGGATGCAGAGGCAGGTGGATCTCTGTGAGTTCAAGGCCAGCCTGGTCTACAAGAGCTAGTTCCAGGACAGTTAGGACTTACAAAGAGAAACCCTGTCTTGAAAAATAAAAAAAAATTTTTTTCTTCTGCTTGTTCTGTTCACCTCTGGCTACTGTGTATTATACATCTATTAACTCATTCAGTAATTGTTTCTTATGTAACTCAGTACCAGAGATGTAGTAGTCAACACAGACAGCTTATAATTGTTATTGCTCTAGGCCCATGAGCTGGGACAATATTATTTTCCCAGCAAGGGGTCTTTAAAAGCTCCTCTGGGCGGAGCCCATTGGTGTCTTCTATTTCTCAGCATCTCCTACAGACCCGGGTGGTTGAACATCACAGACACGGAGTGAAGAGGATGTTTACAAAATACTGAGCCCGGCCAGCGTTTGCTTCTGTGTCACCATACAGGAAGTAGTTGATATATACTCGCTGTATCAGAATGTAAAAACACGACGGAACAATGTTCTGAGAGCAGATTCTGGAGTCAGACCTGTCCAGTGTACACTAGCTGAGCCATTTCCTGCCTTTGGGGAGTTTAAAAGAGCCTAATTTCTTAGAGCCTCACACTTCTTCTCTACATACAATAAGCATAAAAAGACGTTTTCTTTGGTTACATAGAGCATCAGACAATGTCTGAGAAGGATATAGGGATAGCTCTTTGCTTTTTTTTTTCCCCACACAATCCACATTTTAAATGATTTTTGCCTTTCTATTTACACTTGCTAGTGAGTGATAACTGCGTTAGAATTCATTATAAGTGTTTGAGGATTCCAAGCAGAACTAGAGTAAATAGTCTAGAGGGAGTCATCACTGTCTTCTTGGGGTTTGCCTAAGAATGGCCCACTAGAAAACGTGGCAGTTTCTTCCAAGTAAGAGCCTGGCTCACATGGCTTTTTGGAATACTGTTGAGAGTATCTTTGAGGACTTTTAACTACCCAAGGTCCAGGCACACTGAGGCTGCCTCTGGGCCAGGTGGTTTGTGGGTATTAATACCTCTTCCCTGTCCTTAGCCAGAGTCACATTGATTCTTTCTCATTTGCCTCTTGGGTGGTCTGAGTTCATCAGTTTGGTTCTGTCCCCACTTTTCTGTATCACCTGTAAGCTGCCCTGTAAGTGTCTGGTACAGGGCTGTACCTAATTTCTTAGATTTCTTTGGGACAAAATTTTGTCGGGGAATAGCCACCTTTGTCTGTGGTAGGAAACAGGAAAGAAACCAGTGTGGCCCCTTTGCTACTCAGCCTCCATCTGTGTTCAAATCACAAGGGAATGGGGTGCCGGATGTGTGACAAGTGAGCTGCTGTAGTGTGGGGTGGAGGCCAACCTGGAGGACCCTGACCAGCTGAGTGACCTTGTCATCTAACTTTGGAGAGGACTCCTTGCCCACACAGTGTACGGTCATACCCGCCTGGAAGACCCTGTCGTGAGAGTAGAGCAAGGCACTTAATTCACGGCCCGGCTCATGGTACCACACTCTAGGAAGGCCTGAATATGTCTGTGGGTGGATGCAGAACCACACGACAATGCCAAGTGCTGGTGTGGAGAACAGGAGACCTGACCCTGGGTTTAGAACCGGGCAAAGGATATGGCTAGGTGCCACCTAAACAGGAACTGGAAGAGGAAGTGAGAAGGAGGGGTGAGAGGACACTAAGAAAGACGAACATGAAGGTAGGAAAACATGACAATAGAGTGTAGTTCCGTAGTCTTGCCATTCCGTCCTCGTGTGTGTGTGTGTGTGTGTGTGTGTGTGTGTGTGTGTGCGCGCGCGCGCATGAGCATTTCAAACCTGTCTACGTATAAGTAGCTAGGTTATTACAACCAGATACCTTCCGAGTAAACCTGAGCCCTGGGAGCTGAGGGGGTCTGGTATTGGAATCCTGGCCTGTATGGGTTGGTGACCATGTCTAGAGAACTTTCTGGGTGGTGGGTACTGGTAGCGGTCGGCGCTCACTTCATGCCCTGCTGGAAGACTGAGTTGCGACGGGTCTTGCAGATGATGAGGTCAGCCCACTGCACAACCACGATGCTGGCAAAGAAGGCCGTGTGGCATGTGAACTCCACCACCTTCCGCTGCTCATAGGTCTGGGGGAGGAGGCAGGCGGAAAGGGGTCAAGTGTGAGTGTCAGGGATAGATAGTACCAGCAAACAGCATGCTTTAGGCAGTTGCTAAGCTCGGCACTTAACCCATCTTCTGCCCCTAGCTTGCTCCCGGCCAGTTCCTGCCAGGCTTTCAGCACCACCCCTTCTCGTTTGCATCACCCTTACACAGCCCCACTCACCCACTCTTGCCCATAGCTGTCCTCCAGGTCGTTGGTAGTCCGATCATCCCAGTCAAGGCGGATTCCCAGCAGCCGTGATGGCAGGAAACCGTTCTCTGCCAGTATCACAAAGTAGGTGAAGAAGCCACCCAGAGCCTGGATCATGCCTGGAAGAGGTTGTAAACAGAAGGTGCGACCTGAGCAGAGAAAGAACCAGCAAAGGGCCACCCCTTGGGGACAGAGATGGAAGTCTCTGTCTCTCAGGGAGCTGGACTCTTTCTCGAAATGTCACTCATCTCTCTCAGGCATGGGACGAAGCTTTTGGGGACACCCTCCCAAGCCCCTGGCTGGGCGCACCAATCTGTCCATAAGCCATGCTGATGAGCCTCTCGTTCACCAGCTTGTCCGTCTGGGAGTTTCGTGGCTGCCGCTTCATGATGTCACTCTCAGCTGCTTCGTATGCTAATGAGATGGCGGGAACCTGTGTACAGAGGACGTGGGCGGGAGGAGGCATCTGAAGAGATTCTGTATCTAGAGCAGCAACCGCTCAGTGAAGAATCAACAGAATTTGGCACAGCGGTATTTAAGATCCTGTCATCACTAGGGTGACAGTGTAGGGGTGGAGAGCATGCGTGAGTCCTGGGTTCAATCCCCGCTACTATAGAGTGGTGGGGAGAAACTTCCTGTTTCCCCCAGGCCTGTGCTTAACATCTGCTGTCTACTGCTCAGGGTCTGGTCTGATACCCTGGCGCAGCTCCTCTGTCCACTGCTCACCCCACCCCTGTTCCCTGTGATTGCCTGGTCAGATTGTGCTCCACACTCTGGCCTCACCATGTCTGTGCCCAGGTCGATGCAGAGGATGGTCACGGTGCCCAGGGGCAGTGGGATGTTGGCAATGATGAACAGCAGGAAGGGGGTGATCTCAGGGATGTTGCTGGTCAGGGTGTATGCGATGGACTTCTTCAAGTTGTCGAAGATCAGGCGGCCTGTAGGGAGGTTCTGAGGGCATCAGGGAGGTTAGAGGAACTCTTCCCCCGCCCTCACCCCTGAGGTGTGGCTGGCTGCTCATTTTCCTAAGAGGAAGGTTTAAAGCTGAAGCAGCGTGGAACCTTAGTGTGAAAATCAGAGGAAGCAAAAGGTCTGGCTTCAGACATCCTGGATGTCACACAGCCCACCCTGCTTCCTCACCCTCCTCCACGCCTGTCACGATGGAGGCAAAGTTGTCATCGAGGAGAATCATGTCAGCGGCCTGCTTAGAGACATCAGAGCCAGAGATGCCCATGGCAATGCCGATGTCAGCCTTCTTCAGCGCAGGGGAGTCGTTCACCCCATCACCAGTCACTGCCACAATGGCTCCCTGCCGGGAGGACACCAAAGGTGCTTGAGGACAAAGTCCTTGCCTGTCTGGCCCCCAACTTTGCCCTGTCGCTGCCTCTTGCTGTCTTGCTCACCTGCCTCTGACATCCCTCCACAATGATGAGCTTCTGCTGAGGGGAGGTCCGGGCAAATACGATCTCCGTGTGGTCCCTGAGGATCTCGTCCAGCTGCTCTGACGTCATGTCCTTCAGGTCTGACCCGTGCACTACACATGCTTTGGCTTCTCTGGAGGGTAGAAGCAGTAAGAACTGACCATCCACACTCACGCCTCTCCTGCTGCCCCTCCCTGCTCCGTGTGCCTTAGTTCCCCTGTGAGGTGGGACTCCCTTATTGCTTTCACACCCTCTTCTATGACACTGAGTTCCGCTATTTCTCTCAGAGAAGGCAACGCTACATCCTCCCCGTGTGGTACCACAAAAGCATGAGGGCTGTTTGCTAGGCATATCCCATCCCTATAGCAACCCTGCAGTATGGACACCATCTCAATTCCGTAACTGAGAAAATGGAAGTTCAAGGACTGCAAGATGTTTCCAAGGTTACACAGCTCATCACTGGTACAGGCTGGACACAAAGTTGTCAGTGGGAATGGCCATTGGACAGGCAAAGGAAAGATTTTAGTCTAAGGGTTCCAGAAATGCTGTCGAGATATCCCCAAGGAACCCTGACAGCCTCTGGGAGAGGATGTGTTGGCTAGGGACAGGGTCTTTGTAAAGCCCTTACCTGGGATTGACTTGGCTCACAGGAATGTTGAGCCGGGCTGCAATGTCCTCCACAGTCTCGTTACCCTCTGATATAATGCCCACACCTTTGGCGATGGCCTTGGCTGTGATAGGGTGGTCCCCAGTGACCATGATCACCTGATAGGAAGAAGACAGAAAAAGAAGTGTTCAGCTTCCCCTCCTATTCCTTTCCCTAAACCATGTAAAATTAGACTACTAGATGTCTGAGGTTGGTGAATCCCAGCCAGAAGAGAAGGAGGTGTGTGTGTGTGTGTTGTGTGTGTGGTGTGGCATATGTGTGGTGGGTATATGTGTGTGTGGTGTGGTATGTGTGTGGTGGGTGTATGTGTGTGGTGTGTGTGATGTGGTATGTGTGTGTGTTGTGTGTGTGGTGTGTGAGGTGTGTGTGATGTGTGTGGTGTGGTATGTGTGTGATATATGTGTATGTGTGTGTGTCTCCTCTACCTCTCTGGGACAAGATCTTTAGGTATGTAGCCCAAGCTGACTTCAGACCCACAGGATCCTCTTGCCTGTGCCTGTCAAGTGTTGGGATTATGGGCATACATTCCCATGCCTGGGTTATCTGGAAGAATTTCTTTAGGAGTTTGGCTATGTGGGAAAAGAAGCCATCAGAACTGGATGGGTACCCCCTTTAACAGTCCTTCCTTCCTCTCCTCCTCTGCCCACTTTGTATTATTTTAATTGTGTGGGTGTTTAGTCTGCATGTATGTTTGTGTACCACATATGTGTCTGGCGCCCTTGGAGACCAGAAGAGGGCATCTAATACCCCAAATGGTTGTGACCTGCAGTGTGAGTCCTCTGAGAGAGCAGCCAATGAGCGCGCCTAGCTGCTGGGCCACTCTCCAAACTCCAACAGCTCCCTTTGAATATACTTAAGGAGACCAAAGTTTTGTGAGCAGTCAAGATTTCTTCAAGGTCACAGGGACCCTGAACAAAGGTTTGACTCTCCCGGTGTCTCAAGTGATCGCAGCAGCAGTGCGGTTGGATAGAGCAGGGCTAAGATGGAGACAGTGAAGGGGAGAGGGGGAGAGAGAAGGGTGAAAGGAAAGACTGGAGAGAGCTTGGGGGAGTGGGAGGGTGGAGAGGGAGGAAAGACGGATATAGGAGCAGGGAAGTAGATATCTTAATTAAGGGGGCCATTTTAGGGTTGGCAAGAGACTTGGCTCCAGAGGGGATCCCAGGTATCCAAGGAAATGCTCCCAGCTAGGTCCTTGGGCAGCAGAGTAGAGGGTGCCTGAACTGGCTTTCTCCCACCATCACACTGATGATTATCTTGAATATTACCATAGAATCTTCATCTGGTGACGGATGGAGATAGAGACAGAGACCCTCATCAGAGCAACAGACTGAGCCCCCAAGGTCCAGTTGAAGAGCAGAAGGAGGGAGAAGATGAGCAAAAAAGTCTGGACCACAAGGGGTTGCTCCACCCACTGAGACAGTGTGCCTGTTCTAATGGGAGCTCACCAAATCCAGCTGGATCGGGGCTGAATGAGCATGCGATCAAACCAGACTCTCTGAATGTGGCTGAAAATGGGGGCTGACTGAGAAGCCATTGATAAAGGCACTGGGACTTGTTTCTACTCCATGTACTGGCTTTTTGGGACCCTAGTCTATTTGGATGCAAAGCTTCCTAGGCCTGGATGGGGGGGGCTTGGATTTCCCACAGGGCAGGGTTCCCTGCCCTCTCTTAATGAGGGAGGGGAAGGGAGGAGGGGAATGGGGGGTTAGGTGGGAGGGGAATGGGAGGAGGGGAGGAAGTGTAAATTTTTGAATGGAAAAATAAATAAATAAGAAAAAAAAGATGGAGACAGTGTTCAGCTGCTGCCATGTTCATCGGCTTCCAACCGCCCTGCATGGTATGGGGAGAAGCGTTTCTTGCCTTAGCTGGGATAATTAATGTTCTTTGCTGTTGCAGAATGCATGGAGTGGGATGGGAAGGGAGGAGGCCCGGGAAGAGGCTATTATCGGCATAAAGTGATCAAAGCTAGATGAGGACAGATTGGCATATGTGGGCTTGTGGGAGACGTCCCACAGAACTGAGGCAAGACACCTCTTCAGGCCCCCGCTGCCTTCTCTCCCACCCCCATTATTAACCTGAAACTACCCGCAACATGCCTCCTATTGAAAACAAGTGCCTCGGCAAACCTCGCTGTCCTTGACTCCCTCAGGCGTTGAGATCCCCTCGCTCCCTTGGCTTCTGTGCCTCCTTCATTTCTGCCCGAGCTGTACCCCTACCTGGTGGCATGTTCTTTAGAGCCTCCTCGGGGTGGCAGAACGGAGCCTAGCAGAGTGGAGTAAGTGCTGCCTTTGGACAGGAACTAAGTCTAAACATTGACCTTCGCCAACGGTTGGACCTTAGACAAGTCAATTTTCTATGTCAGCACAATGGAGGGGGTGATCTACATCAGTCCAGGCTGGCGTTAGGTAGACACTCAATAAACGTTAGCTGTGTCCTACCCACCCCACTGGCTTCTCTTTCTCCTCTTCCCCAGAAATGTTGGTGAACCTAGGGTTTCATTCTTCATCCTTTCCTTGGCTACTTGCGTATTGACCTATTGCTTCCTGAACAACATGATAAATATTTAGGTAAGCCTTTTGTTTGTACGCATGTGCTAATGAGATTTAAATCTAAAGTCCTGACCGTCTTTCGTGAACTCGAACTATATTCCGACTGTCCCCAGATATTCTCTCTGTCTCTCTCTCTCTCTGTCTCTCTCTCTCTGTCTCTGTCTCTCTCTCTCTGTCTCTCTCTCTGTCTCTCTCTCTGTCTCTCTCTCTGTCTCTCTGTCTCTCTGTCTCTCTGTCTCTCTCTCTCTCTCTCCCCCTGTGTGTTTCTCACAGATGCTTTAAACGGAAGGTCCATACTGCACCGTCTTCATTCCCTGCACCCCCTCCAGCTCCTCTCCTCTTAGACAGACTATTCACTGGGTTCTGTTTTCTCCCTTATCTTCCCACCCTGTTCCCAGCTTGCTCACCAAGTTCTCCAAATGCTTCTCGAATGCAACTATGTGTCTTCATTCCCTTTTTCTCTGTCTTGTCCAGATCCTCACCCCCTCGCTTGGACTATTGTGCACGTTTTAATCTGTCTCCCTGTTCCTGACTTCAGCTTATCCCCACATCTCGTCCCTCCTCCTCTAGGTAGCCTTAAAGCTATATCTGTGACAGCTGTGGTCTTCTGTGGCACATGGGATAGAGCTTGAGTCTGGCATTTAAAGGAAATCTTTCCAACTGGCCTTGACCCAATGTATCAGTCCCAATCCCCAGTGCTCTTTCATCATCTCTCCCCCACTGACCCGTACACCTCCACCTCCTGATAGCGTCGGCACGTCCGGGTACGTACTGTTCCCTCATCTAGCCATGCCTCTCCTTCCTTTAGAGCCTACTGAATCCTCGGCAGCCTTCAAGGTCCAGGTCAAATATCATCCCTTCTCTTAAACCCTGTCTAGTTCTCAGAGGCAGAATTAACAGCTCCCAGTTAATTTTCCATAGAGTCCTTGCCCAGCCTCTGTGCGATTTCTCATCATGCCGAGAGGCACCTGACTGGGCAGAAAGACGGAGCGCGGCTTCCAGACAAGCCAACTGTGCTTCATAATCCCAGTTCGCCTCTTACCGACTGTTCTATTTTGGGGAAACTATTTACCTACTCTGAGTTTCTGAGTGTTTGTGTATTGCAATGGGGGTAATAATGCCTATTTTCCATGCTGGGTGGTTACTGCAGTCAAAACTAACGCACATACACAGCACCAAGTCTTCTGGTGTGGTGGTTAAAAAATAGACTGCCTTGTTTCAAATTCTGACTTCACAAATTACTAGCTATGTGGTCTTGGGCCTGCTGCTTGTGCCTCAGTTTCTCTCTCTGTAACAGGGAAGATGCTTGTGCTTACCTAGAAGGCCGCCATGCTCAGTGCTTAAAGTAGTGTCTGATGCATCTAAAACATTAAAATAACTTATCCTTAGGCATCTGACCAATAGATTACTCAATGACCTCAACTCTTAAGACTGTTCTATGATATGTTTAGAAGCATCGGTTCCCCCCGCCCTTCCCTNCCCCCCCCCCCCCCCCCCCCCCGCCGAGAGATCCTGAGATGTGGAAGCCAGGCCCAGTTTCTATTCATCTTTGTATTCCCAGTGGGAAACAAAGACTTGGCTCTCAGGGAGCAGGTTGTGTTGCATTGTTAAAAAGAAGAAGGAGGAGGAGGAGGAGAAGAAGGAGAAGGAGGAGGAGGAGGAGGAGGTGGAAGAGGAGGTAGAAGAAGAGGAGGAGGAGGTAAAGGAAGAAGAAGAGGAAGAAATAATAATAATAATAATAATAATAATAATAATAATAATAATAATGGCATCAGAATTGATGACAGAAAAAGATGTCAGGGACCTGTCTTGGAAATAGGAAACTGAGTTCCTGGATGGATGGTCGGTCGGTTGGTTCATTAAATAACTTGGCACCTCGCACAGTGCCCGATGCACAGTTGATAAGCAATGCATATTTGCTGGATGAAGAACAAGCCAGACAATTAAGAGAGTGTATTCAGTGAGAAGAGGTTGTGGGGACGAAGACTCAGTGTGGAGTCGTGGATGAGTGGGGAGAATATGGGGTGATAAGGTGAGCTTGCTGAGGCAGACAAGAGCTTTCTAGTCCCCCTTCCGAATGGGTAGACTGAGGCAGCTGGGCACTCAGATAACCAAGTGTGCATGATGGGAATGCCAGCTGGTGCTTAGGATGAGGAGGGAGGGGTGCACATGAGGTGGGACAGGGAGCTGGGCTAGGTGATAGATAGGCATGAACAAAAAGCAAGAGCTCTCGTCAGGCAGATGGACAGCTTCTCTGGGTCAGAGGGAAGGAGGCCACCAGAAGCCTACATCTCCTCAGGACAGCAGCTGCTGCGGTCCCTTGACCTCTGGTAGGTGGCCAGGCATACCAGGACAGAGGTGGGGGTGGGCGGGAAGGAGGTCATCGGTACCTTGATGCCTGCGCTTCGGCACTTGCCCACAGCATCTGGCACAGCTGCCCTGGGCGGGTCAATCATGGACATAAGCCCCACGAAACAGAGCTTCTCTGTGGGGAAGTTCAGCTCATCTGTATCGAACTTGAAGCCCCGAGGGAACTTCCCAGAAGGCAGGTTCAGCTGACAGAAGCCTGAGGAGGAGCAGGAGGGAGGAGTGAGAGCAGCAGAGTGGCTGCCGGGTTGCCTCCAGGGCTCGTCATGTTAGAGATGCTGGTGAGGCTCAGGAGCCCCCTTCTCGGCCCCGCTCCTCGGCCCTGCTCTGGTTTCGGTTTCGGCTCCCTCACCTAGCACACGCTCCCCGAGTCCTCCTAGCTCCATGTAGGCATTTTGAAAGGCATCCTGCATCTCCTTGTCCAGAGGAATCTCCTTGCCCTGGACCAGGATGGTGGAGCATCGATCCAGGATGCGCTCCGGGGCCCCTTTCATCACCAGCACGTGACTCTGGGGGCTGTCTTCTCGCTCATGGATGGACAGCTGGAGAGGGGAAAGGCAGTCACAGAGGGCGACCTACTCATTTGGTGGCTTAGCACAGGGTCTGATAGGGAGCAGCTTCCAAGACAGAAGCTTTCCTTAATAACATAACTCTAATCATCAGAGAGTGTCAACAAAGGAGAAACTATGCGTGGAAGGTGTTTCACATCGGAGTCTTAAAATCTGAGAGTCACTTCCACAGAATGGTGATCGATTCAACAAGTAGTTACTAAGATCAGTTAGGGCAGGCATTGTGCTAGGGGTTGGGTGGCTTTTATTAGCACCCCGTATTCCCCGAATGACCCAGGGTTACCTCTATGGTGCCTGCAGAGTAGAGCCGAGACTATTCTTGGCTTTATCAGACGCCTAAATACCGAGGGATACAGTAAGGGAATCATAAAAGTGTGCTTTAGCTATGCGGCCCGTGGGTGGGGAGAAAAGAGGAGACCGTGACAGGTTGTGTGTAGTAAGGTCTGCCAGTCAGAGGATGATGGATGGCAAGCACACATGTAGCTGGTCCATGTGTCCTGGGCGTGAAGCGGGAGTGGGAGCACACAGCCCTCAGATATTCCCATCCCTTCTTTCTGTCGAGTCTCCGGTCACTCACTCTCCCCATTTTGGTCCCTCTTTCTTTCTCTGTTCCACCCAGCAGCCCAGCCAGACCTGATATTTGTTGGTCGAGTTGAAGGGGATTTCTGCCACCTTAGGGTTCCTGTCCCTCATCTTCCTCACTGAGCCACAGGACAGCTCAATGCATTTGAGCAGAGCTGACTCAGAGGCATCACCAGCTGTGTCCCGCTGCCGGAAGAAAACAGAATTCAGTGTCCCAGTGGGGGAGGGAGGGAGTGGAGGACGGGAGAGACGGGGCATCAGTTGAGGTCACCAGCTCAACGTGAGAGGGAGAGCTGGGCATCAACACGGGACCTTTGGAGACAGTCCTCTACCGTATCTGTGCCGGCACTCACTGGCTGACCCCCTACCTTAGACACAGCGATGTTCTCCTGCCCAGCCTTGAAGACAGCACGGTTGCAGAGACCGGCAATCCGAGACAGGGCTGTCCACGTGGGGGACCGTTTGTCAAATGTGGCCCCTGGGGAGAAATAAGGGAGAAAGAAGCTTGGTCCCCTGTTGGAGTATTTTCACACCCTCATCTCCTGCTTCTGCCGGGGCCCTCGGCACCAGCCACCCCTCCCCCTTCCCCCTTTCCGGAAAACCAAATCACCAGACTGATCCTCAGTGGTGTCGGCCTCATGGATCTGGTTGTCAAACCACATGTGGGCCACGGTCATGCGGTTCTGGGTGAGGGTGCCCGTCTTGTCCGAGCAGATGGTGGAAGTGGAGCCCAGCGTCTCCACCGCCTCCAGGTTCTTCACCAGACAGTTCTTGCGGGCCATGCGCTTGGCGGTCAGGGTCAGGCACACCTAGTAAGTGGAGAGAAGTATAAAATGGTTCAAGACGCCAGGCAGTAGTGGCACACGACTTTAATCCCAGCATTTGGGAAGCAGAGGCAAGTGGAACTCTGTGAGTTCAAGGCCAGCCTGTTCTACAGAGCTCGTTCCAGGACCTGCCTGGAAATAAATAAATAATCAACCCAAGTCTAGAGTGACAGGTGTTCATGACCGTTTTCTATCCTGAAGCTCTATTCCTTTCTTCTTAATCCTACTCACAGATAAGACTGGCTGGGGCCTAGCTGTAAATAATGACAGTTGGCCATTAGGCACGTTGAACTGGTTCCTAGGTGTGTCTGTGGGAAACGCCCAGCAGAGAGCTGAACACATCTGACTTGGAGCAGGCACAAAGATGGAGAACCGCCTACACGGAAGGGACAGCAGAAGCTGTGGGAGAAAATGAGAGCAACAAAGAGGAAAGCGGAGTCTGGGGCTCGTCCGCCATTGAGTTTCTGTGAGGACACAGGACAAGAGAACCAGGACGGTGACACGTCACGGGAGCTGATGAAGGGTGGAGTGCACGAGGGTGGACAGAGGTATCCATTTCAGCAGCAGAGTTAAGGATGAGAGCTGGGAAATGTCACTTGCTTTGCTAGTTAGTCACCGGCGACCTTTGAAAGAGTCTTTACAGCAAGTGAGACAGGATGGAGCCCAGACTGCAGCGGGAGACGAGCTCGCAGATGGTGAGAAGCATGACCATCGCAAGCCCCCAAAGAGAAATTGAATGCTCAGATACAGCTCAACCCAAAATTTTTCAACTTATAACTCCAAGGCACGCATTAAACCGTTTCTGTGTACAGCGTCGGCTATGTGACCGCAGGGACTTGAAGGGAAGAACATTGCTGAGAAGCAATAAGCGACTGTGTTTGTATCAAAGGGGGAAAAGGACGAGGACAGTGGTTGGGCACTGGTACTAATTCAGCCTGATCCACTCACAGTAACAGTGGCCAAAAGCCCCTCGGGCACGTTGGCTACGATGATGCCGATGAGGAAGATGACTGCCTCCAGCCAGCTGTAGCCCAGGATGAGGGACAGCACAAAGAAAGAGACCCCCAGGAACACCGCCACGCCTGTGATCAGCTGGATGAAGTGCTCAATCTCCATGGCGATGGGTGTCTGCCCGACCTCCAGGCCAGACGCCAGAGTGGCTATGCGGCCCATCACTGTCCGGTCACCTGTGGCAATCACAATGCCCCTGGCAGTGCCTGCAGTAGAGGAAAGGACAGACGGTGAGTGTTCTGGGCTTGCCAAGGATGAAGTCTCATCATATTTGCTAAGGAAACAAAACCATCACCGAGTAAATAAGCCAAAGACTCTAACCCCGGAGGCTACTTTCAGTAAACTGGGTTTACCCTCCCGGCGTAGATCACCAGTCTCAGATTTAATACAGTCGCAAATTCTTTTCTTTTGTGTTCGGGCCGGAGAAGACATCTTGCAAGTAATACTAAAGTTCACATTGAAGAGATTCAATAAATGAAATTTAAACTGCCTGCAACATTTCAGCGAATCAATCTTGGACTAGATATTTTTCAAAAGTGTATTATAAACAGAAGCAAAGTACTTATTGATTTGGGGGGAGGGTTTGGACTTAAGATTTTCTTGGGCCAGCAAGACAGTTCAGTGTGTAAGGGCACCACCCACGAATTCTGATGGTCTGAGTTGAGTCTCTGGAACCCGCGTGGTGGAAGGCAAGAACCAAGTCCTGCGAATCTTCTTTATGGGTACTGTGGCATGAGTGTGCTCACTTACACACATACACGCACACACACACACACTCAGCATTAGGTATGAATCTCAACTGTAAAGGGAAGTCAGATAATCAATCAATCACCATGTGTGGACATCACAGGGGTCTTTGGGAAAGGAAGTATGGTACCGTAGGAAGAGCATGCATGTTGAAGCCAGCCAAATCTCGGCTTGAATGCCTGTTTGGACTCCTACCTAGGAGTCAGTAGTCAAATGGGATAACAGTGTGAAGCGCTTTGGCAAGTGCCTGTCACCTAGCAGGCATGCAACACATGCAACCTCCATCCATTTCCTCTCCTCTCTTCAGAGCTAGCTGCTGACTACGCAGTACGAACACCTTATCTGACCTTTCAAATACATTCAGTTATGGGAAATGTATGATAAGTCAGAACCTCAGTACATTAAAAATTTAGGAAATTTAATGTGTAGTGATTTTTATTGTAATTCCATTTCTCTGAAGGAAGGAACCAAGCCCAGAGAACCAATAAATGGAGGAGAAACAGTATCAGGGAAGGAAAGGCACGGAGCTGGGATGCAAGAAGCCATTCTTTATCGCCGTCTGAGAGGTCTGTGGGCTAGGAAACCTCTCTGCTACAATGTCCTGCTCCTGGACCTTCCCAGAGTCAGTCCTGGCTGAGCTCTCCAGCTTGACCGTAGAGTATGGGCTACAGGGATGCAGTTGTCCTTAGATTCCTATTCTTACATGGTAACAGCCACCAGCTCTCATCGCTAGAACCCAGAACTGAGACGGAAAAACCAGGGCAGACTGCACGTTACAAGAATTTTCTCCTCATCATGGCCTAGATGGATGATACAAACTGAAGGAGAACCTGATTTTCACCAGAAAGTTCTCCTGACCCAGAGTGAGCCTCCGGTTTCTAATGATGAGCAGAGGAAGGAAGCAATTGGTCCAGAATCATAGACCTAGAAGACGTCACCTGACTCCCCACCCTCTTAAGAGTCAAGGCTCTGTGTGTGTGTGTGTGTGTTTGTAGCATTTTGACCCACTATCTGAAAGTTTTGTGGGAGGCTTTCAGTCGGAGAATGAACAGAACAGAGAGCTTCGTGGGGAGAGGTGACTTCCAATAGAGGCGGTCTGCCCTGCTCTCCAGAGATGACGATTTCTGCAATGTTCAGGGCCCTGTTCCCTCCTCAGTGCCCTTTATATGCAGAGCCTTTGCCAAATAAGTACAGCTACGGGAACAGGCCCCTTCCCTACAGTGCTGGGATGAGGAGCATTCTTGAGAGGTTAGCTTCTCACCTTCCACACAGTTGGTAGAGAAGAAACAGATATTGCGGGTCTCCAGTGGGTTCTCATGGGTGAACTCAGGGGAACGGGTCTGGGGCTCCGACTCTCCTGTTAGGGATGAGTTATCCACCTGAGGAGAAAAGGGGGTGCAGTCATCAAACTGGCAGCAGCAGCAGCACTGTGTGCACACAACTGTCTCCTGAGCCAGATTCAACCCCCCTCAATCTTCACGACAAGAGGGACGGAATTGCGCTGGCCCTCATCACATATCTATGGCATTACTCAGCTATTGCTCCTGCTGTGCTTGGGAAGACTGGCTCTTCCTGACTTTTACATGCCTTTGGGTTATTTGCTTTACCCACGAGGCCTTCATTTGTTCACCTGTAAAGTGGGAAATGTAAACAGCATCATTGCATTGCCCAGCTCCAGGAGCACCACCGCCAAGGCAGTCTGTGACAATGCCACCTCCTGGGGTTGATCAGGCGGCAACATACAGCAGCCTTCATCACAGTGTCATCTTTTTCCAGACTCCTCTCTAGATAGCCAGGTTTGAACTCCCCATCCTCCTGCTTCTACCCTCCACCTGCAGAGTGCTAAGGTTATGGGTGTGAAGACCCAACTCCTTCATCTTTATTTCCTTAAAATTATCTATCTAGGGCTGGAGAGATGGCTCAGTGGTTAAGAGCATTGCCTGCTCTTCCAAAGGTCCTGAGTTCAATTCCCAGCAACCACATGGTGGCTCACAACCATCTGTAATGAGGTCTGGTGCACTCTTCTGGCCTGTAGGCATACATGTAGACAGAATATTATATACATAATAAATAAATATTTTAAAAAAATTATCTATCTATCTATCATCTATCTATCTATCTATCTATCTATTATTCGGGGCTCTCGGTAGTTCAGGCTGGTCTGGAATCTTTCAGAGTGAAACTGAATAGAGTATGTAAGGTTTCTGTCGCATAAATGGTATTCCATATACAATAGCTATAAAATGCCTATATCAAAAAAATCCCAGAGCATAAAGCATTCCTAACACAGATACGCAGAGGTAGCTGTAGCCATCCTATACTGGAAGGAGGTTGAGCTGGGAGGCTGAGGGGAAGCCTTGACGTTTGCAATTGAGTTTCTATTCAACTTTTAAGAGGGCCTCTCTTGACTCTGCACAGACTCAGCCACTTGCTCTTGGTGACCCCCTCACCTTGCAGCCGTGGGAAGAGATGATCCGGAGGTCAGCAGGGACACGGTCCCCACCCTTCACTTCTACCAGGTCTCCTACCACCACCTCCTCCGCATTGATCTGCATCTTCTCCCCCTCTCGGATGACCAGGGCTTGCTGTGGAAAAGCCAGGAGCACCTCGTGAAAGGTTCGTTTCCACCTTTGTGCTCCAATTGTTTGCTCTCCCTCCGAAGGAGGAGAAGAACCCCCCACACCTTCAGCAGCAAAACTTGGCTCTGGTATGAAGAGCTGAAAAGGGTATTTTCTGACCATCTTTCTTCTATTTCAGACCACAAGACTACCGAGAGGTGAGTCCTCTCAGAAACCTTATGCCCCAAGCTGGATGGAGCCAGTCCCTGCCATCTACCTGAGGCACCATGTTCTTGAAGGAGTCCATGATCTTGGAGCTCTTGGCTTCTTGGTAGTAGGAGAAGCAGCCAGTGACGATGACTACAGCAGCTAGCACGATACCTAGGTATAGCTGGTAAGAAGAAAGAGTCTCACACACTTAACATTTCTCACCTGGGGTGGCTGTGACTTGGGGTGGCCGCTCAGAGTCATACTGTATGGGATCCCCAGCCTTCACCTGAGCCCAGGTGTGAGAAAGACAGTGAGTCTTTCTCTCCAGCCCTCCTTCCCCCCAGCCTTCTAACCCACACCCCTAGCACGGAAGGAGCTAGTTCACATGGCTGAGGCCTTTCTAGGAGTGAAGTCCCAAGTGTACAGACCAGCTCCTTTTAGTGGACTGAGTATTGAGGATCTCTCTCTCTCTCTCTCATCACTGGCTGAATGTGTTGGGGGTGCTCCACAGGCTCTCTTCAGCCTGAGGTACTGGGACTGGGATCTTGTTCCCCAACCCTTACCCCTTCGCCTTATCTGGGGTTTAGAGTCAGAGGGCAGAGTCAAAGACTGACTGGTCCAGGGGTTGGGTGCGTGGCTCACGTTATCATTAGATGGCTCATCCTCCATGGCGGCCAGGATACCATAGGCTAGGAAGCAGAGGAGGGCCCCGATCCACAGAAGGATAGAGAAGCCCCCGAAAAGCTGACGGCAGAACTTGACCCACTCAGGAGTTGTGGGGGGTGGTGTGAGGGCGTTGGGTCCATCCCGAGCCAGAATGTCCTGAGCTCGCTGATTGGTGAGGCCCTATAGAGGAAGAAAAGGTACAGGAGTGGAACAATGGAACAAACCTTACCCCCACCACATCTCTCAGCATCGTGCAGAGTAGTGTCCAGCTGGAGAGAGAAAAAAATCTGCTGTGGTTGGAAGGGGTAGGATCATCAGGAGGGACCACACAGAGAAACTGGGGTCTGTGAATGAGACTTGGGCCTTGAAGGCTACAAAGGACTCTCGCTGTGGTCCACCTTCTGTTACTCTTGGGTTGAAACGTGTTTTTGTTGGAACAGCATGCATAAGCACACCGGAAAGATTCCTCCTCTGACCGCCCTCCTTTCTTCCTGCAGATCCTTCCTTTCGCCAGGGCTCCAGGGAAAGCCTCACAGCATAGACCCTTAGTGTCACGTGACTTTGGCAACCACTTATCACTTTCCTAAGAAAGCCTAGCTATTCTTGAGGCCCCAGGCTAGATCAGAGGCTTCTTTCTGGATCCAGACAACCCCGCCGTGCTTGATTCTAGAATGGTTCTTACTATAGTGCACTGGAATTCTGTTTGTATGGTTTTTGTTTTTAGATTCTTTTGCTACAGACTTCGAGCAGGACCCACTTGTTCCTGACCTTCATGTCATTCATTCGTCTACCTTACATGTGAACGTTGAGCTCCGACTACACGCCCAACAATGGGAAGGATCTAGAGACAGGCACTGTCAACACCCACAATCTAAAGAGGAAACCTGCACAGTAATAAATACACATGGGTGTCGGAGAATAGAAAATGTCACAGGAAATAAAGTAACGTCAAAGAATCGGGGCAAAGCAGTTTAGGAAGAGACAAAAGAGGAATGGGCCAGGGGTACTGTTAATTTTTTTAAAAAATATTTATTTATTTATTTATTATGTATACAATATTATGTCTGTGTGTATGTCTGCAGGCCAGAAGAGGGCACCAGACCCCATTACAGATGGTTGTGAGCCACCATGTGGTTGCTGGGAATTGAACTCAGGACCTTTGGAAGAGCAGGCAGTGCTCTTAACCTCTGAGCCATCTCTCCAGCCCCTGTTAATTTTTTTTTAAGACAAGGTATGGTTCTAGCTTGGAAGTGACTTTATAGCCCAAGCTGGTCTTGAATTTATGGCTGACTTTACTGTATTTTCATTTGTTTGAGCCAGGCTTTCAATATTTTGTCTAGAATAGTCTTGAACTGTTGGGTCCAAATGGTCTTTCTGCTCTAGTTTCCTAAGAATTGAATTTAAGGCATCACACAAGCTACACGGCATTCTGTCACTGAACTACATGCATAGCTCTCTTTGATTTTAAGACAGGGACTCTAAGTTGTCCTCTTTAGTCTTGAACTTGCAATCTTCCCTGCCTCAGTCTCCTGAGTAGCTGGGGTTACAGATGTGTGCCCATGCACCCAGCTTAGAGGAACAATTTAAAATATTTTTAAATGATGGGCTTGGCAATCTGGCGGTGGCCTGTGTTTATTTATATAACCTAGCTCATCCGAGGACAGGTGGCGGTCATCCTGGGGAAGGAGGAGAGAAGGCTGAGCACTCTTCGGGGCACAGGATTAAGCGAGGAGCGTGGGCCTGGGTACAAATTCAGCGAGTCACTTTCTGATTCTCCTTGCTTTCATAAACAGGCTAACCATGCCTGACAGAGCTAGGATGGGGATTAAAGAAATGGCCATGCTGCGTCTTATTACAGAGCCACCGACGTAGCGGGCATCAGCAAGTACTATCATAACAGGGCTGAGTCACTTTGCTGGTCCACGTCCATCATCTCTGAGAGCAGTTGCTGGAGGCAGAGCACAGAGCCTTGCCAGAACCTGAACCCTGGGTCCTCAGGAATTCTAGCTTCCGGATACACAGGCAAAGAGGGGGAAGCAGGGGTCCAAAGTCTGTTTCAGACTGTGCCCCTGACTGTGCCCATGACCTTGGGTAAGTCTCTCATCTCTGGGCTGCTCCTCTCATCTGCAAGGAGCATTGTGTTCTAGTTTGGAGTCTCTTGCACCTGAAGCTCACCTCTCTCTCATGGCTCCACTCACCTTGGACAGATCCACTTGGTATTTTCGGCCCAGCTCATCCAAGGACAGCTTGTGGTCATCCTGGGGAAATGGAAATGCAGACACTTTGGGAGAGGAGGCTGAACACACACTGGGGCACAGGATTAAGTGAGGAACAAGGGTCTATGTACAAAGCTTCTTTGGATGCCCATGGCTGCTGGGGTGTGGCTGTCAGCACAGAGCTGCTCCTCCATGGCCCTGCTGAGAGCATCGTGGTCCTTACCATGGCAACCTCCTTCTTCAGCTCATCCAGCTCCTTCTCTTTCTGTTTCTTCTTGCCACCCCCATTCTCCGCAGTGGTGGCGGCAGGCGAGTACTCACGCCCTGCCTACAAAAGAAAGGGAGGGCAGGGATGATGAGGGAGACTGGCTGCCTGGAGCCCGTTCCCACCTGCTTTCGAGGAGGTCCCAGCACTGGAAGCAGGGGGTGGGAGAGAACGGGAGCAGATGGACGAGCCCAGGCAGAGCTGTGAGGACCCCCACATTTGAACTTTTACCTGTTTACTATGTGTGGGATTCTGCCAGATAAAAAAGAAAACATGCATTTTGAAAAACACCATCCAAGGTGATTTGAGAGAATTCTGGGAGTGGACAGGCATTGTGTTGACAGATGGGTAGGGTATCCTGCAGGGATGCCTTTGCCTAGTTCAGAGAGGAATTCTGGGTAGAGTAAGAGTCCTGGGAAGGCAAGAGAAGCAGGCTTGGTGGTGGGAATGGAATGGACAGGGATGATGGACTGAGAGAAGCTAATGGTGACAGGTTCAAGTATGTCTATAAAGTCCAGGGTATGCTGGGAGCACCCTGCTGGCAGGCTTATCTGGAACTGGACAGAGACAAGTCACAGAACTTGAACCCCCAAAGCACAGTTGGGTTCCCTTTGCCAAGATTAGTATAGGGGAGTAAAGAAAGATTCTGTTCAGGTCAGCTGGGTGTTTTTAATAGTGATCTTGTGAGGTCCCCATTTGCTCTTCTCTTCAGGGCTGCTGCAGACTTTCAGGATCTCATAGGAGCTTCTTGAGGGAGATGGTGGGGATTAGGAAAGGCCTCGGGGGTTATGGGTAGTGTGAAAAATGCCATCATCTCCCTCCATGGCTCTCCATCGGGACACAGGGGGTGACTAAGTTTCTGCTCATCCCTCTGGCTTTTCTGTGGACCCTGAAGGCCACACTGAGTTTTTAGAAGTGGTTTTTCTATCCCATGGTGATGACTGGCATTTCCCATAAATAATGGGTATCTGGTAGAAACAATAGCCTGTGTGGCTTTGTTTTGTCTTTCAAGATTATGCATTTGGGGGGTGGGGGTGGTTTTCTTTTTCTTTCTTTTCTCTTCCTTCCTTCCTTCCTTTCTTCCTTCCTTCCTTTCTTTCTTTTTTTTTTTTTTTTGCAACTTTTTAGCTGACTGTGAAGGTTAGTGGAGAGTGGAGGATGCACTCAGGGACCTTCTACCCCTCCACATGGACAGCCTCCCTCCCTATCAGCATCTCACACTGTTGGAGAGGGACATTGTCTCATCACTACCTCCCAGTGACCACAGCTGACAGGCCGGCGGTGTATGTTCCATGGATTTAGGCAGATGTCTATCAGTGTGGACCTCCCGTTTCTCTAGCACATGGCTGTGCCACCCTAGATCCTCAGTGCTTCATGGTAACATATTCTATCCAGAGTTAGAGTGGTCCAGGGCACTTAGCACCCTGAGTAATAGATTCTGCCCAGTGAAATAAGGAGCAAGGAAGGGAAGGGGCCTTCCAATGCAAGATTATGGACACTTGTTCCATGATTCAGGGACCTAGGAGATATGCTCTTGGAGCCTGCATTGCTCAGACACGCTCCGTTTAGAAAAGGTGACCATCACACCATGCTCTCTTCTCTATCTGAAATGCCTATGGATTCAGTCTGGTCTTGATCTTCTGAAGGCCAAGCATCCTAGGGAGACTGAAGTGGCCATCGGCAAGGTAGAGAAAAACTCAGAAATACCTGCCCTTTCCCAGGTGATGTAAGAGGCTTTTTAAAAAATGGATTGAAATGCTTTTGGCCTCTTGGCAGGCAGGCGGGGCCGAGTAAAGGAAGGGAACCCACAAAAGGTCTGAATGTAAGAAAGCAATCTGGACAGTCATCGGTGAGATTCTTGGGGACCGCAAGGATGGCTGAGGTTTGTGCTAGAGGTGGAGGAGCAGAGTCCAGAGAACTCTCTGCATGTTTGGTGTCAAAGAAAACGCATGAAAACGAGAATCAAATGCCCGCTTCTGGAGCTGGGAGGGATGGCATGCACATCTGTATTCCCACAAATCAGGAGGTAGAAGCACGAGGATCGAAAGTCTGAGTCCAGCCTGGGCTACATAGCGAGAGTCTATCTCAAACAAATAAACAAATGCTTCTGGTGAAAAAAAATATTCTGGCTCTTGCATGTTGGTTTGTTGATTGTGGCTGAGCTAAACAGCGCCATGTGGTAACTTCTTTTCCTCTGCTCCCACCCTGTTCTCCCATAAGTGCGAAGCTTGGGACACACTGCCCTTCCCCCTCCTCCTGTCCTGGCAAGGATCTCAGGCTCCTCAGCCAGGAGCCTGCAGAGATTTGGGGCCAGTGGCTGCCCAGGGAAGAAAGAAAGAGGAAGCGAGGACCCCCCTTTCCCTCTCTGCTCTTCCCTCCCTCCCCCAGCACAAGTCCCTCTCTTTGGGTCTTGAATGCTGAAGGAGAACAGAGAGTTCTTTCTGAGAAAGCCAGAGTCTGGGACGGAGTGGGGGTAGCTGGAAATCAGCCAGCGCTCCCCCCACCCCCACCTCAGCTTCTGGAGGAGGCCTGACTCCCTCCCACCAGAGTGATTTCTTCCCTCAGCTCCCACACTGCCCTTCACAGCCACACAGTGATGGGCTGGGGTGGAGGTGAAGAAGCGGACCCCAGAGTTGAGTGTGGAGAGCGGGAACTTGTTTTCTGCAGCTCTTCTCTGGTAGGTAGGACTCTGAGCTCCCAACCTTAAGCTCCCAGACTTTTCAAACAGACCAGACCAGGAGCAGCGTCACTCACAGCCACTAGGTTAGGGGTGCCAGAGGTTATGGATCCAGCAAGAGTGCTGGTGGGGATGGGGGGGGGGGATTCAGAATGGGGAAGTCAAGGTCAAATTGTTTTTTAATTAGAAAGAACTGTGTGAGCTAGGTCCTTGCTCTAAGGAAGAGTGGGGGTGGGAGGTATCCTATCTTCCTTTTCTCTTAGATAAAGGTAGGGCTTGCCTTGGCCCTGACTTCTGCACCTCAACTGGACCTTTTCTTTCTATAGCGAGATGTTGCTGAAGGTCCCAGGACAGAATGTCTTCCCACGACTGTGACCACTTCCTCAGGGAAACATGTTGCCCATAGAGAGCTCCTAAGGGTGGGCTCACAGCCCTTGCCCTGCCTCCATCTTTGCCCCTGAATGCCCAAAGGCTGTTCATTTGCAAATTCACCTGCTGAAGCATAGTGCGGGGCTCACTCATAGATGTCTACAGCACTACCAGCTTCCTGGGAACACAGGGTGTGAAGTTGTGGACACATATACACATGTTCACACACACACACACACACACGTGCACACACTTGCACAGTACTCTTCTATTTCCAATCCCACCCTAACCCTGGAACCCTGGTGTCCAGGCTCAGAGTGTTTCCAGCTGTTCAGCTTAGAGCAGTAACATGCCCTTGCCTGACTCCTTGTTGGGCCCAGAAATTGGCCCACAGCACCCCATGGCACTGTCTCCCTGGCATTTTGCAACGCCTTGCTAAGCCCTTTCCCTCCGTGCCCTCTTTTGCCAGCATTCCACAAAAAGGAAGGCGGCCCAGCACAGTATGGAAAGGGATTGGGTCACTTTCCTTCATATGGGAATTTCATTTCCAAGAATTGGAAGCCTTGTCCTTGCTCGCCCAGACACGACTATTAATCTTTTCACTGGCAAACCCATCCACTGCTCCAGGATGCCATGGTGGGGGCAGTTCTCACCAGCCTTTAGAAAGGTCCCCAAAGACTGTGGCCTGGAGCTGAGGACAGTGTTGCTGGGGACATCTGGAGGGGTGCTGGGGTGAGCGTTGGGGATAGATTCCTGCTCTCCGTCCCAGCTGATTCTGGCACGCAGGAGCTGGTGTAGTGAGCTGCCTGGTGGCCCTGGGAGCGGGGTGTTCCACAGCTGCTTTGCAACCCCAGGCTGGCCCCCGTCCTCTCTGGCCAGGACCTCAGAGGAATAGATATTTTCAGTGGGTAACAAGGGCGGGAGAGAACTAACGGAGCTGAATGTCCCTTCAGCTGGGAAGCCAGGAACTGTGGTGAGAGAGGAGGGATGTTGGCAGAAGAGATGAGGGGATGGAGTGCGGGGAGACCTAGGAGGGCACTTGGGTGGCTTCTGGGCTAGTTGTGGGAGAGGAGGAGGCCAGGGTGGCTGCAGAACGGGGTACAGAACTTGGGCTAGCGCTGTGGAATCCACAGGCATGTGCAGCTGGGCGATTCGTTCCAAGTTCAAACCATCCCACTCAGCCAGCCTCCCTCACCCTCCCTCCACATCCCATTCCCACCCCACCCTTTCTCCATTGTCTTCTTCACCCTGATCTTTGGGGATACTCACCCCACGACCCATCTTGGGGCAGAGTGGCTGAGGGGACCTAGGCTGAAAAGGTCACCAGGAGGATCTCAAGACCACACTGCCTGTCTGGGGCAGCTGGAGACCCTGGCAGACAGACAGAGACAGCCTGAGCAACAGGGTAGCTTTAAATAGGTCCCTCTCCCCCTCACCCCCGCCTTCCCCTTCTCGGGGAAAGAAACGTTTGTTGAAACTGGATCCCTGAGGACTCCTCCCCTCCCGCCCCTTTAGCAACTGGCCCTGGCTGTTTTGTCCCGTGGTGTGTCCCCCCCTTCAGCTCCCCTCAGCACTTCCCCATCCCAGAGCAGCCACAACTGAGAGAGAAGCAAGGGAAAGGGGGTGGAATGGGGGTAGCTGGAGGGAGATGTGGCCCCTAGGGCCCTAGGATGCAAGCCAAGGCATCTTGCAGACTGTCTTCTACTTCCAGGTGAGGACGCTGAGGCGGTAAGAATTCAGCAACCTGAGTGGATAAAACAGAATCAGAATCTCCTGAGTCCACATCCAATTTCCCAGAAAAAGCAACAGCCTGGTCCCTCTGCTGTGGAAGCTGCAGAGACACTGTGACCAAGGGAGTTAGAACAGGAGCACAAGATGACTTTTGCAAGGGACCAAAGTCTGGAGATGGAGGAGAGAAAGTCCTCCTTAGGCCTTCCAGATGTAACCTCTGGGCCAGGTGTGTCTGACTCGTTGCCCTTGGGCTGCACCCTGAGATGGCTATGAATTTGGCCCAACACAACATCCCAAACTCAATTCAAACATTGTGAGGTACTTTATAACGGCCATGTTTTTGATAACGTGATTGCATAGTGCTCCAGCATGGTTTATGGATGACGTGAATAAATGGTAGGCAACAACTTTGTGTCACGATGTTTGAAAGGTGACCACACTTGCATCCAGTGTTCAGGACAATCAAGACTATCGGCACTTAGAGGCAGTTGGGAAGGTGAAAGGACCATGAAGGCAGCCCGAAGCCAGGCACAGCATCCTGGTCATTCCGTGTGTGTGGAGTGGAAGAGAGCCTCTCCTTCGTTGCTACAGAGGAGCTCCGAGTGAGTCTGAGGTTGGTGAATGGCATGGGAGGAAGCCCAAACTGGAAGGTGTGGCATTTCTGAGGAGAGCATGGAAGTCATTATCACCTCAAACACCGAGTCCGTGAACTGGAAAGAACAATGACTTCCTTGGGTTCCTTCTGGGAGGAAAAAGAGGCAGCTCCATGAGCGACTTGTGTAAGGAAGCACGGGCAGCTGGGCCTGGGGAGAGAGAGGGGGCTTCCCCTCTAGCTGGGAAGGTGTCTTCAGCGCTATGCGCAATAGAAATAGGAACAGAGCAGATAACCAGCAGGGCCAGCTGCTCTGGGGGTGCTGGTGTAGTTCATTTAAGGAAGACCCAAAGAGTAAGGGTGGGGGACAGAGAAGGAAAAGTCCTGCCCCCCATCTACCGGGAGAGTCAGAGGACAGGGTTCTCCTGCAGCGTCCCCATTTCTCCAGGCCCAGAGATGTAGTGAGTGGACACCCGCTGTGTCTGAGAACCCTGACCGAGAAGGAAGAAGGAAGGAGGGAATGGGAGTTTGGCAGGCGGCCTGAGGTACCCGCTGGCTGGGCTGGCTGGATTGGGCCCCCTCTGGCCCTGGAGGCAGCACCCTGTAGAGGGATTATAGACCTCTTGTCCAGGAAATCTACTCTCAGGGCACAAGGCTCACATCTGAATTCCCTAAATAACTGCCCCCCTCTGGGTGTGCAGCTGAGATTTTTCCATGACAGGCATCCGCGGGTCAGATCCTACCTGCCCCTATTGCTTCCTCCTGGGTCTGGCAGGAAGGATGGGCAGGATAGGCATGCTCGAATTTTCTCATGGTCTGCGGTCCCTTCCAGGCCTCTGGTCTGGAATAGATGCGATTGGGAAATCGTGACAGGAAATGGACACAGTCCCTGTGTGTCAAGGACGGTCAACTGAAGATGTAAAGCGGAGTGAAGGGGACTCTAGAAGGTTTATCCAAAGGCTAGTGGAGTGTAGGGGTGAATTGACGATCCCTTGGGGTCAAAGGGCGTCTGTACTCCTGAGCTAGGGTTCCTGAGTAATCTCCTTAGCTTCTTCCAGACATAAAGTGAGACAGAAGAGAAACACAAGGCTCTGAGCTCCTGTGCTCATCCCCCTCCTCCCTCCCACCTCCGCTGGCACTTTCCAGTGCTGCCCAGTCCTTCCCACGCCCTGGCTCTGCTGTCTGTAGCCAGGCTCAATAACGGAAAGGGCTGTGCCCTTCCTCTGCTTGCACAGACTGTTAGGGCTCCTTGCCATGCCCTGCATTAGGGTGACTACAGCCTCAAGGACACCGCGGTTCACATACTTGGGCTGCAACAAGTGAAGGTAGGCAGGGCATCCTCCTGCTGCTGCTCACCCACGCCTCCCTGACTACTCCCTCTGTGGAGGCACTGGGCTTCTGTTTCAGACTCCAGAACACAGTGCGGGCAAATACCTGGCCCTTTGATCTGTTGAACCTGGGTTGGCGACCTGTGGACAGACAGGGGCACTCATGGACTCATTTGAGTCAAGAAAGGAACAAAAGAGGAAGACAGAAAGACGTGAAAGCGGGAGGTGGGAAGGCAGGAGTGGTCTTGAGAGAAAACACAGACTAGAAAGAGGTTCCCGGGGGTAGGACGGGGAAGGTGTGAGCCATGTTTGGTTGGCAGAGATCTGGGAAGTACGTGTGTGTATGCAGGGGTATGGAACAGAGAGACATAGGAAGATATACTAGGCTAGAGGTGGGGTGCTAGTTATGACCTAAGGGGACTCTGCGGTGTGGGATTCTGTAGGTAAGAATGTACCAAGTGCTATTTCCAAAGGGGTTTCCATGGGGCATATGGCTCAGTGGGGAGAGTGACTTCCTAGCAAGCATGGAACCCTGGGATCTATCTCTAATGCCCCCTAAGCCACGACTTGTAGAACATGCCTCTAATCACAGTACTTGGGAGGCAGAGGCAGGAGGATCAGAAGTTCAAGGTCTCCCTAAACTACATAACAAGGTTGAGGAATTGAGGAATCAACTCTCTCTCTCTCTCTCTCTCTCTCTCTCTCTCTCTCTCTCTCTCTCTCTCTTTGAGTTGATGGGGACAGGGCAGTGCTTGCTTGGATGTGTGGTCGTCTATTACAAATTAGTCATCTGCACAGGAGTGTGTGGTGTGCACATGCTCGTGTGCAGGCGTGCACGTGTGCGACAGGGAAGGCTGTGCGGCACCGTGGGTGTACGTGAGAGTCCATGGGAGAGTGTGCAAGGGGGAGGGTGGGCGCTCAGCTGCGGACGGACTTGTAAAGGAAACAGTTTTGTTTCCTAAGTGACTGGCCTCCTGGGGCCTCCAGCCCAGACTTGAAGGTTGTTTCAAGATCATGAAAGAGAGAGCGGGAGGGGAGGGACGGAGAGAGGGAGGGAGGGAAGGAAGAGCTGGGGGAGGCTCCATCACTCCCTCCCACGGGCCCTCCTCCCGCCCCCTCACCCCACTCCTCTGCCCCAGTCCCTCTTGCCTGCTTCTCCAGCTGCCAGTGTCTCGGGCTGTCTTGTCTCTCTCATTCCCTGTACCCTTCTTCTTCCTTTCCGACTGACCTTGTTACTGCTGCCAGACTTCTGGAGCCTTCTGGGTTGTGGGGTGTGGGAGACAACTGTACTGCTTTCAAAGAAAGACCATCTTGGGGGGAAAAATTAGTTGGGAGTCTAGAAAGGTCCAGGGTGGCCTTAATTAGTGCCCCAAAAGACATTTTTTGCATTTCCTCTTTTCTCCCTAGTCTCTGCTCCCATTCCCTCAGATCGTAGTGACCTTGGCGGTGGGAATATTGGGCCCCAAGTCACAGACGTGGCTGGTGTAGGCCTGCTGCTACCTGAGTTTCCCCACTGGCTCACAAGGACTGTGTGGGTTTTCTTCTCATTTCATCTTTGATAATGGTTCCTCTGTTTTCTTCTTGATCTCTCTTTCCGGTGTACTCAGTGTAGCTTCTCTTCCTCAGACTCTCCTGAGGCCTGCCATCTTTAATCTTTTCCCCAGATGGTTTTTATTGCCTTGTTTGGATTATTCAAATCATATTGTATAGATGTCAGAAAAAAAGAAGGGAGAGGCTCTGAGAAACAGTCCCCCATTGTATTTATGCCTCTGACCTGTTGTCTTTTTGCTTTCTTTACTTTTCTGAAACCAGAAAGACCCACACTGGGTGCCCTTGGGGACACCCAGGTGGAGGTGTTCAGGAGATTAGAAGGGAAAACATTTGTATGTCAGCTCTCTCGGGCATGGTGGCGCACACTGTTCTCTACCTGTTTCTCACCTGCCCTTTCTGGGGTCTCATGCAGTGGGAACATGGCTGGAAGTCAGGTCTCAGTGGGTCCACCAGCCACTTGTATGACCTTGGACAAGCTCTGTGTTAGCCTTGATGTTTCCACCTGAGTGCCGAGGGGCACCAGACAGCTTTTGAGATTCCTTTTCACTTCTGATGCTCCCCAAATTCTGGACCACTTCCTCAGGAGAGCAGGAGACATAGCCAGCAGTTGCTCTGGGCTGGGAGGAGGTGAGGGGGCAATTGCTCCTGCCTGGTTTGTTAGTAGGGTACAGGTATGTCTACTTTGATTACTGTGATTCTAGAAAATGAATCTGGACCTTTTAACTCTTGGCATAGAAATGAGAAATTCCCCCCCCCCTTTTTTTTAAGGAAAGATTACCTCAATATTTTATACAGAGCCATTGTGGAGAAGGGCAGGGCCTGGGTATCCTTGGGACTGGGGAACCTGGCATCTCTTGGCTGGCATACAGGCAGCAAATACCAGGTGAGGCTGTTTTAAGGAATTCTTTATTGGAAGTGACAGAAGGAGGGGGTTAATGGGCCTTGCTGAGTTTAGGGCCAGGGGTCACAGCTGGGCCCTGCAGGGTTCCTGTTTGCCTTTGATTCCATCTGTGTGGGGAAGGAATGGCCCCCAGCCCCCTGAGGTAGGTTTGTTTTGGCTGAGGATCTGACCCAGCCACTGGCCCAGATCTCTCCGCCCTCCCTTCTCTCCCTATCAAGAGGCAGCCTGACCTGGCTCCTGGCCTCCTCCTTCCTGCCTGCCTCCTTCTTTCCTTCCCATGCCCCTTCCTCGTCACCCAGCACACAGT